CCCCCCCCCCCCCCGCCTAGCAAAGTTTCAGCTGCAATCTATCCTCTTCGCTTTCTGTCCTCATTGTTTTCTACCGCTGCGGTGCCCTGTAAAGCGGCTGTTGTCTTTCACCCCAAAACGGGCAGCGTATTACTGGTGGCTGAAGCTACGAACTTGTGAAGTGCTTTGGCAAACTTTGGGACTCAGAAACAAAGGGAGAAAAACAAGTCTTTGATATCTTCCCGTTTCACGACAGACCCCGGTACAGGTACCGAGGCCTGATGTTTGTTATTTTAACTAAACCAGGCACAAGCTAACTTCTAAGTCTCCGTATAGTTTTCATCAGGTGTCGGAGGCAGCTGGGCTGCATCTGTAGTGCTTCTAGGGGTGGATCCAGATGTTACAACAGGGGTGCAGGAGCACTAACCTGCACTGTAGGGGTGGATGCACTCAGTCTCCACCCCCCTCTCATGCCTGGGGGCAGGCAGACAGTGCAGGGGAGCAGCAGCCACGGACTTTTTAATCCCCCGAAATGTAAGAATTCGCCCCTTCTCTTCTCCTCCCTGCTCAGAGGCACCCACTACCCTCCCCTCCCCTCCCATTTCCCCTTCTCCTCTCCTCCCTCCCCACCAGCCACGAGGGGAACTCCAGAGCCGCTCCAGCCGGGCTCAGTCCAGGACAGCAGCAGCAGTGCGCAGGTCCCTTGTCTCTGTCTGCTCTCCACTGATGTTTCTTGGCAGCCTGGGAGCAGGCACGGGGAGAGGGAATGCACCTGTCCTGTGCCACCACCGCTATCCCAGGCTGAGTCTAGCCCCCATGCAGTTCAGCTGGACGGGGGTACAAACTCTCTTTGCCCCTGGGACAGCAACAGCAGCTGGTGGGGAAAAGGGGAACGGGAGGGGACAGGACGCGGAGCAGAGGGAAGAGGAAGGGACGTGCCTCTGAGCAGGGAAGGGAGGGGAAGAGAGGACTTAAAAGTAAGTCCCTGGCAGCAGCGCATGCCACATGGGCAAAAAGTGGGGTGAGGCCATGGCATTGCACCCCCTCCGGATGCACCCCTGACTGCTTCTAATGCATTACACCTCAATAGGTCTATGTCTTTTGTACAGTGCTGCGCCACAAGAATGAATTTAGAAAAAAACTGCACTGGGCTCAAGCTGACATGTTACAGTAGGCAAAATTAAAGCAGCCACCTGAACACTGGACTGGGAGCAAGGCCCTCCAGAGCCAATGGACTCTCTCTTGACTGCAGGCAAATCAGTGACTCAGTTTCCCCATCTGTATGAGGATTACTTCGATGTCAGTAAGGTGCACTGAGCAGATGGCACTACAGAAATGCTCGATATTACTAGATTTGTCAAAATGCCACAGACTGGATGGTAATTTTCAGGTAGAAGTTTTCACTGCAAGAACCAATATTACCACATTGTTCTGATTATAAGTTGACCCCACATTTTGAGGTTCAATTGTAGCAAAAACAGTCTTTTCCCTTGAATATAAGTCAATAACTATAGATAAAGACCCCGAACTGCTACTGTTCTTATAAAATCCCACAGGAGAATTAAATAGCCAAGAAAGGACCCACAGGGTCAAATGTACTAAAACTACTGAAATAAAATTGCACTGAAAACATTTCTGCTTTGGCATTTTTATTGCGTGCACAAAAATCCTGCAAGTACAGAAAGTTAAGAATGTCAGGGGCCCGACGGTAGGTCAACCTCACATGTAAGCTGAGTGTGATTTTTATGGTTCTTGGGGAGGAAAAACACAGAGACTTAAAAATTAGAACAATGCAGTAAGTATTCACCAATACTACTGCTTAAAAATACAAAGGCAGATTTCTGAAGCCACGTAATACTACTGCTGTTTATCACATCCTGTTCCCTTTCAGGAATACTTTTCTTTCTTTCTGAAGTACCTTCCCCCTTGTAAACCAATGAATCAAAACCTACAGCAAGAACAGTGTGCATGGCACTATGCCAGAGGGTGGCTTTATGAAGGTAAGAAAGCAGACTGAAATACAACAAAAGTCTTTCTGCATTATTCTCACGCACATATCCACCTGGAATTTGAAGCTATTTAACAAGTTTTCATTTTGAACATAAAAGTATTCTTTTCCACTGCCCCGTTGATGAGAGAAAAACATATTACAAAGAGGGGCTTGATTTAAAACTAGAAGATAATAATGGGCAATACTGATCTCAGCCTAGGGTCTCAAAGGACTTCAATTAACACATGCAGAGGAAAAGCAAGTCATTTTAGTAAGACTTTATAAGCGAGGAAACTGAAGAACAGCATGGCAAAGTTATTTGCCCAGGGTAACCTAGGGCATCAGTAGCAGAGGTGTAAGAGAAATACATGCATATTTCTACTATGCCAAGTCCTCTGACTCTGATGTGCTTTGCTCCCCGATGCAGCCAGTACAAAAGAAACATGCTGTTTTGCAACCAGACAAGTTCACTGCATGCAACAGGGAGATGCGGCCAATATCTCTTCCTCACTGTGCACCTCTGTAGTTTTGTATATTGACAGTCAGGAATGGGGAGAAACGGCAACTGCACACGTGCAAATATCATCTGGATCCCTAGAACCTGACATCTGCAAGTCAGACTTGGGCTATGAACCCTCTTCAGAGGTTGTGTCAACTCATGTTACACCGTTGTGCCTAAACCCCGCAAAACGGGAGGCTCGCTGAACAGCAGGTTCCCGCACCTGCAGAGCAAATTTATTTTTATTTCCACTTCCCGAGAGTATGATGGGGAGAAATGATAGAGTCTGGCCGAATGTGCTTTGCTTCATTACGAACGATCAAAACTGCCACCCGTGGCCATGTATTTCAATTTCTAGACATTTTCCTAACGCTCCCTCACTGGGGAAATTTTGCCTCTTTGGGTAGATTGGCAGAAAAAGATTCAAGTCATTTCCTTCCTGTCCTTCAGTGGATATCTATCGAAAGGCAACTCCAGCCAAATTCCTGTTCCAAGCAGCATGGAAGTTTATTCTAAAAACTTTTTTTATTATTACTTAAATGAACAACTTAATAAGTCCCTATGCTGAGTAGAAACCATAGGTTTGATCCAGCATCAGCTCTTAATGTGAGTCATCTCCCTGAGGTTAACGGGACTTATTTAAAGGCTGGCTGCATAATCAGGTCTCAGCCATTAGATTTGCTCCTGACACAAAGTCTCCTGCCGGTGATGAGTACCCGCCTGGCTTATAAAAGTCAATGGTGGTTGAAAAAGTTCACTTTGGTGGCAGCTAACAAATATGTCAGGGGAGAGCAGCAGGGGCCAGGCGAACAATTATTTACCAAAGCGCCCCAGGGGAAAACCAGGAGCAATGGTCATAAACTCCTAGAAGGCTTTAGACTAAATATAAAGAAAAAATTTCCATGGCTCGTGTGGCCAGACTCTAGAATAGACTCCCAGCAGGGGTGGTGCAGGCACCTACCCTGGAGATCTTCAAAAGGAGACTGGACGCACACCTTGCTGGGGTTGTTTGACCCCAGCAGTCTTTCCTAGCTGGACCCGATGAGCTCATGAGGTCCCTTCCAGCCCTAAACTTCTGTGAATCTGTGAATCCCCCATAAGGAGGCCCTGTGTAGGAATGAAAGTATTTGGAAGCATTCATTTCTGCACATGGAACGTAAATGCCAAATTTCAGCCTAGATCGTGTTTTTTTTACAGCGACCACATAAACCCTGGAAAACCAGTTTTGTGATGGTTAAATGGAAACACTGATCCCCAATGATATGACAACATTATAGACTGTCACTAGGGGAATGGTTGTAACCAGTGTCTGGTTGCACTGCTGACACCTCTTGCCTGCAGCAGACATGTCAGCGGCAGCAGATGTGCTGGGCGTGACCCAGAAGTCCTCCGAGAGGACTCATGGCTGGTGCTTTCGGCTCGCTGACTTGCACAGTATGCTGTGGATGCTCAGCCCTGGTGATTATAAACAAGAAGCAGAACTTCTTTCCACTTGGATCCGATGTTCACTGCAGAACATCAGATACACGAGCCTTGGTTTCAGCCAAGACAATATGGCTTCTTGCAAAGCAAGTGGCAAAAAGTTGTAGCGCGTGTGCAAGGAAGAAAGAGAGGGAGAGGAGGAAGGGCTGAATGCATAACATCTAGTGACACATCTGTCTTGCTGGACAGCAGGATACTGAGCTGATGGTAGTGGAAAGCCAGACACAGCAGGAGCTGTATTTACTGTAGTTTTGTCAGCAGTGGTTCTGGCTTTAATCTCAAAATGTCACTAATGTATGAGAGTCTTTTTTTTTATGAGTCAACTGATACGGAATTAAAGCTGGCAGCTATTATTACTGGTGTTATAGTATAGTAACAGGCAGATGTGTTAAGATACCAAGGTGCCCAGAGCACCCCAGCTCCAGCCTACTCAACAGGAGTTGAAGGAACTTTGTGCCTTGAGAAACGGGAGGCTAAGAGACGTTGAGAATGCTTACCTGGAGGAACGGTGCTCTTCCTCTAATTAAGGA